ATCCTAACGTTGAGAAATATTTTATTAAAATTACAAGCCTTAGGTATTAAAGTTAAAAATTGTATGAATTGACTACAAAATAATTTACATAATGACGAGTAACGTTACATACAATTGTCTGGCTTTCAGATTACCAATATTGTGTCATACATAAATCAATAAATAAGTTTAAAAAAAACTCAAATAAATAACACAAAAAGAGCCATAATATTTCGAAAGTTATACCGTGTCTAAAGAATTTAAATATTAAATATTTAGTCAAAATTTGAAGTCTCTATGAATAATTTTTGAATGATGTAGAACGAGAAACAAAATAGTTTTTATTTAAAATATGTTTTCAGTATATTTTTCTATTTTTGTATATTTTTTTTGATTTTCATCCAATTATATTGAAAAGTACTAGAAACTTTTATTTTCTTCTAGAAACCACAATCTTTCTTAAGATACTAAAAAAATATAAACAAATAAATAAAAACTATACATCATATAAGTAAAACCAATACATTCATCGCTTCGCTTGAAATTTAAAATAGTATAAATTATTTTATATGTCAGACATCTGCCTAGAATAATTTTCCACGTCATTGGAAAATATACAAGACATTTGTAAGTGTTGGTTTATGAAAATCTTTTAAAATTGATTTTTCCTGGTGTTAAATATATTCAAATAAAATGTCCATTACAAAAAATGCCCTTTGTGTAGGAAATACCAACAACATTATTTTAGTTCAAAGCATCGTTTGTCTGATATTGGCCAAATATAATGTAATAAAAAAAAACATTATAGTATATAGCTTAAAAACATTGTGAACTTACAGTTTTTTTGCCCCTAAGAGTAAAAATAGTGAATAATATACATATATATTTCATTTTTATGATCCTTATAGTCCTTACATCATAAAACTATTTTATTATAATGTGAAAAATTCACGACCGTTTCCATCCCTTCACAAAAATACATCACTTCATAGTTAATGTAGTCACTTTTAAGTATGTAGGTACTTATCCTCGTGATTGCTTATTTGGATTTCTGAATTTCTGATGAGTGATAATTGTAATGGCTATATTATTAACATAATGAACACAATATACATTATCTAAATTTTCTGGTACCATTCATATAACAGCCATAAGGTTTTCATTATTAAAACCACCAAGGGTCTATAATATATTTGTGGTGCAACGTTAAGATGTAATTCGATGCCAGGCGTAATACTAATACAGAACTTGTCACCCTAATCATTCGAAAAACCAAGTAAATTCAATTAGGTTTCCACAATTAAGAATTAAACAACGAGTTTTAAAACGAATTATAAAGTATCGACGTTGTGTTCCTCGTGAACTCCTTACAAACAGCTGACTGCAGGAGGTATACAAGAAACAAAACTAGGTAAGATCAAAAGAAAATCTATTAAACATTGAATATAACTTTAAAGCAGTGGCAGATTTATGGCACCCCTAAATCCAAAGGGGCTGACTCCCCCTCCACCCATTTAGTCTCTAAATATATAGGGTTTTTATATATCTATTTCAAATATATTGAAATAGTATGTTGAATAATTATTTTAATTAGTCAGATGAATATTATAACATTTTGCGAAATTCATAAAAACACTAATAATTAAGAAAATATATATAAAATTGTATTAAGAAAATCACAGAATAATTACTTTTTTAATTTTACATTTTTGCTGCATTATACAAACAATAAAAGACTAACCTTACTTATTGATGGTAATAACTAAAATATAATGGGAAAGCAAATTGAATGTAACTAATCGACAATAACTGACGTGATATGCGTCATGCTCAAACTGACTCACTTGTAACCCTGCAAACTTCTCGTGACACATGACATATAATTCCGTTTTTATGAGTATCAAAGGGTTGTCCAATAATTTATCAGCATGACCCTACATGACAGAAATGGCCCCATGGCCTCAAGTGACTCGCATTCTGGTAATACCTAGAAATGGATTTCCTGGCGCGCCACCGTCGTAAAACCAAATTCATAAGTGACAATATTTTCTTACACATAGCTGTGGCACACGATGTCCGCGAGAGTGTTACAACGGCCGTATGCCCGTCGTCTTGACTTCTGCGGCGACGGTAGCCGCCATCGTCCGAGTACAGGCGACTGACTTGGTTTGCATGCGGCCGAGTTTCTGGCGTCACTGGCCGAATAACCTCAGATGTAGCAACTTTCAGCAAAGGCGTTACTGCTGCAAGTGGCTGCAAAGATCATAAGACTGAAGCGGATCGGTGAAAAACCTGTGAGTTGATGTTGGTAAGCGAGGACAGATATTTATTGCGGGCCCAGTAGACTTTACTACGAGAGCGAGAGTATTTTCGGACGGGCTGTGTGAAGGACCCCACACTCCGAATAGATATGGAGGCCATGGGACTGCAGGCATCGATTATGACGGTGTGGTGCAGCAGGAGGCAAAGAGTGCAGTCTGTCGGTCCGTGACGAGGCGAGCGACCACCGAGACAGTCTTACTGCCAGTGCTCGAATTGGAAATATAAAAGAAGGGGTGCTAAGGGACTTATAAAATATTAGCGTTACACTCAAAGATTTAAATCAACCTAGCTCGTGGGGGGCTTCGCCCCCCACACCCCCCAAGTAGTATTAACAGCACCAATCAAACAATCATTATAACTATACAGAATGTATACTACAACAATAAATAAATATTATTAAATTAGATACAAACAAATCTTTTTATTTTATTTTCAAAATACAAAATGTTATTGCTTACATTTTTAATATATTCCATAGTTCTACATGAATGATTATTATCTTCATTATTTTGTCACTTAAGACAGTTAACTTCATCGGTGGAGTACGATTGCAAGCGTTTTACCTTTTTAGGGATACGATTGCGCGCAGTTCCGGAATAACAAAAAACATGATTTTGACTATTCAAAAGCGTATGATTGTACGTCAAATTGAATGCGACGTTGCAAAAATTGTTTGTAACAAATTTCAGTTATTTCGTAATTATTTTTTCTATTTAAATACAGATACAAGTTCATCCCTTCAGGAAGGGTTTTAATACATTTACTTAAATACTTATTATTATCAAAAAAAATATCGTTAAATATACTATAATTAGGTATCGTTATAAAAAAAAATATTCATTAAAAATGGTTAAATGTTTGAATAGATAAATAAATTAAAAAGTAAATAATTGAAAAAAGTTGACAAATTACATTTAATATTTTTAAGTTAAATTTTAAAGCCCCGATACCGATTTCTAACTAAGGCTAAAAACTTAAGTCCATTTTCTGTCGTTATAGTTTTATTTCGCACCTATATATTTGGCAACGTTGCTAAGAAGTTAAAATAATTTAGCGAGCGCGATCGTACGCCTAAAAAGGTACCGCTGATAAGTACCACGCGCAATCGTATTGCACCCACCTTCATCAGCACATTGTTTGCCCTATATAATATAATATAGTACCTATATTTAATCAATGCTTGTACCCATTTAAACTGTTGAAAATTCCAACTGCCACAGCTCATGCAGCGCTTGCCAATCATTGACAGGAAATCAGTTCTCGGGACCAGCTGATGTCCAGCGTTTCGTCGACGGCGCAGTCAACGCGGTAGCCCTGGCGGACAGTGGGCGCTGAACGATCCACGGTCCAGGCAGCTCTGTCACTATAATTCCAATACCTGTACTGTGGGAGCTCACATCCGATGACTTTGGAGTCTTGTGATGGCCAAACACAACTGTGGGGAAGAACAAATCTTCCACAAAACATATTTAGGTTTATAGCAACAGAAAGGCAGTCGTTAATGCAGATAAAACCAATGTGTCTTGTTTACAAACATTTTTTTTTCATGTTGGTGTTTCCATAAAGCTATTAAATTCTTGATTTTATATTCTTAATCGAATAATATTTGGAATAAAAAATTTGTATAATAATGATTGTAATATAAAATTTCATAGCAAATAATAATAATCTATATCAATATTTTAAAGTTTGTAAAGATTTTCTTAGTATAATAAATAGGTACTAGATTAAATATTACATATCTATTTTATGTTTTTATATAGCTATTTTTAAGGAGTACCTACCTATATTTTTTGATTACCTTTATACAGACCTTGTGTTACTTAAGAGTTAATAATATGTGTATATGTATATTTTTGAAATTTATATACCTAGGTACTATATTTTACCGAAATTTAATGACTTAAAAATTGCTCGTTCGATTTAGCAATGTAGATCAAAATTTCAAAAATATACGTATAAACTATAAACATATTATTAAGTATTAAGTAACACGACTTGATTAAATTCTATAATATATTAATATTAATATTATATTATAATATAGTGTAAGGTAGTACGCACTAGTACAAAACATAAATGTACCCACTAAACCCCTTGTAATAGTACGTTTCATCTCGTACTACAGCAAGATAAAAATGAAAGTTACTTTAACCTCATGATTCGATAAACAGTGGAAAACGACATATTTTGCAGTTTGACAGTTTCGTAATTTTATGAAATACGTTTTAATAGGTATCGGAAAAAGGCGCTCGGCGCTGACTATGCAATTACAAAATGTATATTCCCATTACCACTCACGTATTTTATGTTTAATTTTATATGAATGAAGCGTGTGGACAACTGTTTAATATTATACAGATAGATAGGTAGGTACTGATTAAATAGATTTAGCAATGTTATTTAGCAAGCGATAAAACGCGACCACTTGGACCACGTACCTGTAGGCTGTAATATTATGTATCAAGCCAAGGGATTATTATTATACATTTTGTAAGGTAATCAAAAATAGACAATAGTTATATCTATATCTATATGGTGGTACTCCGTGATAATATAGAACGAAAGTAAGGATATATACATTTATAAATTGAAATATATATATTATATTACTTATTATAATAAAATAGAAATACTTAAATGGTGGTTTAATCTTTAATGTCACCACACAGTTTATACTTTCGATTACACATATTTTTTCATTTCCACGTATAGTGTATCACACTGCTCATACTTTTAATCTTTGGTTCAAAGTATTTTGAAACTATATCATGCTAATATAAATATTTTATAAACATTTCAAGTATCTCTGGTTATTAGTTTATGAGTTAGGTACACTAAATAAACTAAATCTGGTTTGTTGAATACTGTTTTTACCTCAACATTTCCGCTTTCCTGGTTATTTTGAAAAGTACTGTGGATTTTTTACTTTTGACTCCCGCCCCCAAACTGACAACAAAATTAAATATTCTATCAGAAACTACACCCTAAGTTGAGAATCGAAGCATTTTTACTGATTACCGAAAAAGGTGATAAGAGACAGAAAAAAATCACACACATAATTTTAAAATCAATGCATTCATCGCTCCGCTTGAAATCTGAAATTGTTAGATTTTGATGAACAATTCCCTTGTCTATGGTAAATACTAAATTAAGACTTAAATATTCCAATATTTTACCTCTATAATTGTCATCATCCATAATATCGCATATACCTAGTCATAAAGGATTAGTTATTAATTATTTATATATGCATTTAATGATTTGAACTTAATATGTTAAAACTAATAATTTTATCAACTTCAGAAATTATACGTGGTATAAAATGAGTCCTATAAATAAATTAAAAATATAATGTATTAATTTATATACATTCATACTTATAATTTGTATAAATCACTTAATATAATATAATATACTACTAAAAATATTTGTATATAATTATAAGAACACACGTCACGATAATAGTTCAAGTTTCTTTCATATATTCCGTTTTTTCATAGTCGTCTGAATGACATGAAAGCCATTAGTAAAAACAAACATCCCAAGAACATAAAATACACACTGTAGATCAAAAACTGAAAATATATCATTGCAATACTCAAATTGTGTGTTAACATAATATAAAACATTTGATTTATATTTTTAGCATACTACCTATTTTAAGTTAATTTCTGTTGAAATTCTGACATTTGTTAAATAACTGATATACAAAGGTATACTTAATTTACCTACCTACCATACATTTGATGCAAATAAATTAAACAACTCGGCTATAACTGTACTTTTAAACAAATATTACCTAATACCTATAGTATAATATAAGATACTTATTGTACAGGTTTTTTATCAATCACTTTATGCTTAAATACAACACAATTATTAATAGAAATCTTACCTGTTGACGAATGTCAAAAGAGAACAATTTATCTTCAACGACGACCACAGTGAATATAATAATTAAAATATACGCAACCAATTTGTTAAATCCAAATATTAAGGCATAACAATTCCTTTTCAACAATTTGGCAACTTCTGCGCTAAAAGATAAAAAAAAAATTTAACATTTATATCCACCTTGATAATACTGTTTTAATCAATGTGATGATATGAAAAAATGGTAAATGATTAGAAAAATCCAAAGACACTAAACAAAAATAACTTATTTCTACTAAAAAAATTACAAACAATTAAATATAACAATCAATATATTGTATTATTGTATTATTATAATCCTCAAAAAAATGTTTAGTTAACTATATAGGTACTATTCACTATTCAGAGTTAATAGTCGATTAAATAAACAAAATTGATAAATAAAAATGAGTATTTTTAACAGCAAATTAACTTTTATAGATATAATTTTGTATCAATGGATAAATTTCTGAAAAAAATTTGATTTTACCTTGATATTGTCACCATTGTCTGATATGTACAACAGAATATTATATAGTATACATACGACTTTATTAAAGATTCAGTAAAAGAAAGGAAATATAACACGCCTCCAAGTCCCATAGCTACTATTGCCATTATCATGTCTCCATACTTTTCCCAATCTCCGTTTACTCTTCCAATCGCATATGTAGTAGCAGCACCTCAAAACATTTAAAATAATAATATAATATCAATATTCAATAATATGATGTAATAATATATTCAAAACATTTAAAAATTATTTAAAAACGTTGTATCAACAAATGAAAGACCGATAAATACTATTCTAAATAGTTTAAATAAAATTGAAAAAATTTTGTATAATTTACTGAATAATGTGGCCACTGATTCAACTGCACCGTTCAAAGAATTTAGTTCGCCGTGAGCTTCAATTTCTTCCCAATGAAGTTGGATATATTGCGAAACCTGGAGAAACATAAATCAGTCTTATAAGACTATGATTTGTTGTAAAATAATAAATTGAATATCAGTGATTGTATAAAATGAACTAGTTTTGGAAAATTAAAAATATTTACCAATACATAACCACTAAGTGATAACGACCACCAAACTGACCATTTGAATACTTTAGCATCCGCATAAGCTACATTGAAATCATCCCATAACATTTGAATAACTTCAGAGCATTTCATTTTTATAAAGTATTTCTGTATGAATATAGTCAATAGTATCATAAATATTATATTATTATTATTACAATGAATATTTTATTTTACATACATTTATATTATTTTTATCTAGATTCATATTAGAAGATTCATTGATTTTTGTTCGAATAATTTTTTCATTATCATCTACAAACACGTCTAAAACTGGTTCTTTTACTTTATAAAAATATAAACTTAACTTAACTGGTGGCATAATTAATGACCAAATTGTAGTTAAAATCATACCTAAAACAAAATATTCAAGTGCAAGTTTAAGTATAATATACATTATGTAGGAAATGCAACAATAAATATAACTACCTATTATGTCTTTTTTTTAAATTTTTTGCTTTAAAGTATATTTATTATCAAACAATAACGCTTTGGAATTAATGTAACGGTGAGCAAGTAGGTACTTGCAACAGCAAGCAATTAGTAAGGACTTGTAACAGTGAGTCAGTAGGTACTTGCAACGACGAGAAAGTGCTTGCAGCACTGCAGCAGGGAGCAAGTACTTGTAACAGCGAACAAGAGCAAAGAATCTCTCAAATTTGATCCCTGTTGCAAGTACTTGCTCTCTGTTGTATGTCATTGTTCGCCATTGCAAGCACTATTGCTCTCTGTTGCAAGTAATTGCTCGCTGTTACAAGTCCTTACTCACCGTTGCAAGCATTTGCTTCTGTTTAAGTTCTTGCACCTGTTGCAAGCACTTATTCTCAGTTGCAATAATTAGTCTATTAACGTACGACTTATGATAAGTCTTTGCAAAAAAATAGGATTAGAATATATTTAGGTATATGATGTATGACAATATGGCAATATATTGCCTTATATGATTAGAAAATGTTGAAATGATAACATGCAGTACCTACTACCTACCTACGACATAGGGGGGAAATTATATAATTTCTTTAAATTATAAGAAATTATAATAATTTCCTAAATGTCGACATTTCCGTTAACATAAATACATAATAGGTACCTTTTTATACTCAAACAGCCAAATGCATTAGGAACATGCTAAGAAAAACTTATTTCCAACCTTTTTTGTTCTAGTACCTATGTACAATGTACAAAACTAAATAGGTATCTAATTGTTTTTGTCCAAAATGACAAATGAGTAATAACTAATGTTTAAAACAACATACAAATTTAAAATTATGTAATATAGTATTTTACTCACCAAGTATAGTTAAGTAGAGTAAATACAAATAACTTACAATATTATATGATATAAGAACTTGTGCTATTATACCACAACTACATTTTCCAACCAAAACTGAAGTTCTTACTATACTAGAAGCGATCTGATATTGATCCTTATTCCTGATATTTGCAAACATATATGTATAATACGCAACTTCAGCTGCTCTAAAAAGCATTAAAAATATTTGACCTGACTAAAAGATAAAAATTACAAACTGTAAATATGTATAAATTAGTTATGTAAACAAAGATATATATTGACAATAAAACTATAAGATTTAGGTAGGTATAGGTACGTACTTTCAAAAAACTTATTGTTGGAGATCCTAATAGTAAACTGTAAGACATTATACCAGATAATCCATTTAAAATTATGATTGGCTTATATTGTAGATAATCGGTAACGAGGAATACGATTACTACAAATAACACGCTAACATAACTACCCGCTGGATAAACTTCTTCTTTAATCTAATTAAAAATGGAAAAAAAAATGGGTAAAGTGAAAATAATGTGAAGTAACTATAAATACACTTCAAGCGACTGGCTTTATATAATTATATGAACAACTTATAGCAGTATAGACTTTTTTAAAAGATTTCATTCAATTATAATTTATATAGCATTACCGGAATTACTATAATAGGGTGCAAATTAATTAAGTATAGGTTGTACAATAATAATATAATGTTTCCAGATAAATTAACGAGGATGAAAAAAGTAAAAATTTTAAAAATATAAGTGTCTATAGGTACATAAAATAATATGCATAATAGGTACATGTAATATAAAATAACAAACCTCTATATAAAAATAAAAAATAAAAAGATGCTTTTGAACAGGCGCAGATCTAGAAATGAAAAAGGGGGGGGGGGGCTGGACAAAAAATGTACTTAAACCTTAAAGTACATAAAAGCATGAGCATTTAGTTTAAGTTTTGAAATATTTTAAGTACCTAAGTCCTAGTCTAAGGGGGGGGCTTCATTCCCCATAGCCCCCCTTGTATCCGAGCATGCACTTGAATAATAATTTACAATTTCCCCTTCTTGACATTAAATTTATTATATTTAAATATGGTATATATACCGTTCTTAATTCCTATACAATCAAATAACTACGATCTATAACTACAATTATTAATAATTATTTTACCCTTGGTTCATTAATTTTAGTGAACTTACTATTTTAACAGTGTATTTTTCTGGAAGAAGCGTCAGATACTTAATAATAAAAGGATCTATTGGACGAAATTCTCGAAGTATGACATACACTGATACATATATGCACACTTTTTTCCACAGTTCCATATTATTTAATTCTGAAATCAACATCAACATTTTTTTTGTATTCTATTCAAAACCAGTTTAACGAAAAATACAACGTTATTTTACATTTGATATACTATTTGAAATGAACAATTTTAGGAAAGTGCTACATTTATAAAATATGTTTCTTCTACTATCATCCCTAACTTCTTAGTTCTTACATATCAAGTCATCATACTTCTGACCTCTAGAAAAAGACTGTTGGCACTCACATCTCAACATTTATAGTTATGAAAAAAAGCGATTAAAAATTTAAATACTTACAAGCATACTTTATATTATTACTTCATTAAATATTATGAAATACTCTCTTAAACCCAAAAATGTAGTCTGATGACAATTCACAATATTTTATGAGAATGAAATACTGCCATATTTTGAGACGTGGTAGTAAAAAATGTCTATTTAAAAAAACAAGAGTGACGTTTTTTAGGATAAAAATATCTGAATGCTGCAATATCACAAATTATGAAATGAAATTCCACTACAACACTAAACATTGGTATATTGCTGTTTCCGGCTCAACATAGCATAGGAAAATTAGTTTTTATTTACCGCAAGAAAGCCACAAATCGAAATAAGAGGGACGAGGTGGCCGAGTGGTCTAAGGCGTCGGTCACGACGCTGCCGACGCCGGATCGATTCCCGGCCACTGGGCGGCATTTTTCTTCGGGCAAGTCACGGTGTCCGGAGAACAAGTGTCGCCATCCCCCACCCGGGCATGGCAGATACCTACGGGTGCCCAAATTGAAAATTCTGCCAAAAACCCAACACACACGTTTTCCCCCCCTACTACAACCAACCATACAATACACCAACAAACAAACCATACAGCTAATGGCCACAGTTGCCGGGCTTACGTTCAATAAAAAAAAAAAAAAAAAAAAAATCGAAATAAGGCAGTCTTGAATTTTGACTTTGGCGATTAATTGGATAAATGAAATAACATAATAAACTGTCATTTAAAGTAATTATGGCTCTGTTGCATTTAAAATTATCTAAAAATTGTATAAATCAATACTTTTTTGGTGTCAAAATGAAAAATTATATTTAATCTGAAGTTCTTTTATTCTATACAGCTAACTTTTTTCTACATTTATTGTCTTAGTATAGAAGCCCACATAATCATATTTAAGTACCTGGATTTGTATATTTTATTTGCTTTCATTTTTTTTTCGGTCTTACATTTATTGGTGCCTCGATAGAATTAGGTACAATTAATTTTATATTATATTCTACAAATGTTGATATTTTAATACAAATCTATCACTTTAATTTCATAAATTCATTATCAAAATCAGAATATTTTGCTGAAAAAATTGATACATAAATAGAAAATTTAAATAAAATCAAATTTTTGTATAAAATATCTCATATTATAGGCATAATACACACAATATAAATATTAAATCAAATACATGTTCGAAATGGTTAAATTTATATTTGCTACTAATAGGAACTAAACAATTAACTAATTTGTTTAGCAGAACTTTTTTTTTAGAGCACACTTACATTGATACAATAATAGGTAGTAATTAATATTTTAAACATTTGTAATTTACCTACTTGTATCTTGTAGAATGTAGATAGAAACCTCATGGCTACATGTAAAGTATATTTAATGAGGCATGAAAACCTTTTTTCTATATCACCCCAGTCAGTTACCTAATTATAATTATAACGGTAAATTGGTACAATAAAAATAACATAATGTAATTACAGTTTAGTTTTTTAGTCTTTAATGATTAAATTTATTTTTAACAAAAAAAAAAAAAAAACGTTTTTGGAATATTATAATAGGCGAACTACTATTAGGTAATTTTTCAATTCAATGTATCGCATATGTTATAAATTATAGTATAATATCATTGAAATGTTACCGTACACATTTGTACAAAATTAAAAAAATTGCTAATAAGCTTCATTATTTACTAACTTCTAACTATAACTAAAATTATCTTTCGACTTCCAAGCATCTATATAGTATTATTATATAGTATACCTACCTATATAAATTATAATAGGTTTGGTAGGTAACATATTATTGTATTTGTCCTTCACAGTGGGTTAATATTTTTTCACCATTTTAATTTCAAGTTAGTTACAAAGTAACTTTTAGTGATAAAAATAAGCCATAGGTATACTATTATTATTCTTAAAATGAGATAATAAATTCTTATACATTTATGTAATGACAAAGATCTAAATAAAAAATCTACAAAATGGCATATCCAATAAAACTTAAATTGTAGCTATAAATCTAGGTTGGTACCTATATCATATTATATTATTATATTAATTACTATTTAGTGTCCAACTACAGTACCACCTATCATTTTTTATTGTACATAAATATATTAAATATAATATATAGATACAAATGAGGAATGTTCAAATTTCAGTTAGTATCTTAATTTTCTTTGAACAAATAGCCGTGAAATACTAACATATATACTACAACATTATAATATGAGGATGACTGCAAGTATAATGCAAGAGGCTGCATTATAATATTATATAAACATAGGTATAGGTATAAGTATTAAGCGATACAGACACAATATATGTTAGTAACAAGAGTTTGACTAGGTAGCCCAAAAATGTCCATTCAATGTCTATAATTTATACATTATGCTATTATATGATAATGGTATTATAAGATTATAATATGTACGCACCCCCCTCAAAAATACACCACTGAATATATTGTGTGTCCACCAAAACACGTACACAGTAATATAATAAATAAATGTTTAAGTCATTTCAAGTATAAAAAATTAAAAAATTTACTCTCAGCAGATCACGTTAGTTTAAAAATTAGAGTGAATTGACCTCTTATAAAATTTAAAGGTAAGATTATTATCTGGGCAATATCATAGGATTAGTATTATATTTTAAGATGTACCAGGTACCTACAATTATATATGTATAAGTATTTGCTTTGAGTATTTGTTTTCCGATTACCTATAATAATAGGTTAATACCTAATATTACCTATACGATATTATACTCATTATTTTATTAATAAACTTAAAAACGATAATATCGATTTTTAGTTAAAATTTAATTTTTGACGTTTTTTACCTTGTCGTTTCTTACTCTTGTCATATTTTACCGTGTCTTTTTTTCCTAGATCTTAGGTACAATAATATATCTATGTATTATTAAAATAATATTTTATTGCACAACTTACCCACTCTAAGATCACTTCAAAATTAAAGTCATAGGTAATAAACCAAGCTCTGCACTGAATGATCTTATAAAATTCGGTATAATTTATCAAATTTTAAATTTAAGCAAATTCATCTCAGAAACCTCAGCAAAATGGTCGGTAATGGAATTTTTTTCAATGTTCACTGTATCTGAAGACTGCATATATTTATTACACTAATATTTAATTTTCTACAAGACGTGTCTAGTAACATTCTAGTTAGTTTATTCGAATAATTTCCAACTATTGATTTGCTTTTGTACTTTATTATTATTTATTTCCATCGAAGTTATGAATATTCAGCGCTATTAATGTATCTACGTAGGTACAAGAACTACAACTAGGTACCTACGATTATATTAATTAATAATATTATATAGCCCATAAATCTTTTCGATTTTCAATGATCGAATTGATGGACTCACGTAGAAAAAACTCATACACACATCAAATGATTTCAACACTCGCAAGGAATTTCTCTATTCGAAATATAATTTTTATACACAAATACCCCCACAATTTTCACAAATTTACTTAATGACGCATCCTTCGTCATAAATCATCATTATCAATTGTATATTTTGCTCATTCCAATTATCTTTCATTTATACCGACAATAATATCTTAAATAAAGATATGCAAACTTACTTATTATATTATATAACGGCTTGGACTTAAAAATAATATTAAATTGACACGTTTGCCTCCTAGGCTCGAATATTTGTAAATTATTGTAAAATCGACACGCGCAGCACTCGAAAAGTGCTGTCGATCCAGTTGTAACCACAATTACAGTAACAGACGAAAAGTGACAACATTGCCAGTCGGCGTCGGAGTTGTGTAATGTGTTGATGGACAAGTGTGAAGCGAGGAAAATGTAATTGTTTTTCAAGCGGTGGCGGATACTTTGAATTTCCCTCGCCACTACGACTTTCTATCACCGACTACCGTATTGTCGGTTTTTAATTTCATCTCTTACGTTCGTTTTATTTCCTCCATGAAATTTTAGGAAAAGTACCCCATATCTCGTACAACAACAATGACATCGGTTTTTTGAGGTTATGTTTCAATTATCACTTAAATTGTGATTAATCATTTTGATAAGCAAAATATAAAAATCATAATAATTATTATTCTCCTAGTAGCTTCGGCAATCTGGCGATTGAACAATAACACACACACAAAATACTCAAATTTACAATTTTAAATACGAAAATTTGCAATGGAAGAAATTGGTATTGTCTTGCCGGAAAGGGTTCGTATTTAGTTGTATACAATTCATATTAGTTATAACATTTGTTACTTATTATACTTCCTTATTCTATGATTCTGCTATCTTTTAAAATTCACCGTAATTTCTATTAGAACACAAAGCAATACAATTTATTTTATACTTAATTTTACCACTTTGTAAAATAATAATATTTATAAATACTTTTTACAATAATATTATTATCATCTTTATGCTGTGTACGATCTACTGTTTTCCATTGTCTAACAATGCATTGTAGTCTTATACACTTATTTGTATTACATAATTTAAAATAATAACCAATAAGACATTTTTTAAGTACGTCCATTCAAATATAACATACATAATACATGGATGAATAATGTCTGTAATGCATCTGTTGAATCCTGTATTTGAGTTATTTAATAAAATTCTACAATAGAATATAATAGATTTTCTTAAAGACTAATTCTGTATAGAATTCACTAATAAATAAGTAATCCATTTAAATAGTTTTTGTCCTTTTAAAAGTCAACAAAGATTCAATTTCCAACTCGTAGTATGTTTCTATGTTAAATATGTTAAATACATTTTCAAATGAAAAATTGAAATTTATATATATATATATATCAGTATTACAATTAGGCCTGTTCTTACAATGTCCGATTAAAGTTAACGAGCCAAATTCTGCCGGTAATAAAATCTGTTATCAGTCAATTAGCGTGAACCAAAACTTTACTAGACATTGTAAGGACGGCCCTTAGTGTTATATAATTTTAAATTGTCATGTTTATATATTTATTTTTACAGGATGATAGTCAGGATGCCAAACCCACTCTCCCTAATTTGAATAATGTTGAGGCATGTTTAGACAGTTTGGACCATTATTCTAGATACAAGGTAAATTTAAGTTATTAATTTTTAAATAAAACTTAAATATAAATCTCAAAATTATTATTACCTTATTAATATTTTATTGAAATATCTAGCGCTTACAAAGGTATTTGGAATTTTTGACTGTACAAGAAGAATATATTAAAGATGAACAACGTAATTTAAAAAAAGAATACTTACACGCACAAGAAGAAGTGAAACGTATTCAAAGTGTCCCACTTGTAATTGGTCAGTTTTTAGAAGCAGTTGACCAAAATACTGGTATTGTTGGAAGTACTACTGGATCAAACTATTATGTACGTATATTGTCAACAATCGATCGAGAATTGCTTAAACCATCTGCTAGTGTTGCATTGCATAAACATAGTAATGCTTTGGTCGATGTATTACCACCAGAAGCAGATTCTTCTATATCTATGCTACAGGCTGGTAAGTTATCTTTGTATAATTAATCTTTTTCCATTTTAACAATAAAAATAACCGTAGATGAAAAGCCTGATATTCAATACGCTGATATTGGAGGTATGGATATGCAAAAACAAGAAATTCGAGAAGCTGTTGAATTGCCACTTACACATTTTGAGCTATATAAGCAAATTGGAATTGATCCACCACGCGGTGTCTTAATGTATGGACCACCCGGTTGTGGTAAAACTATGTTAGCTAAAGCTGTGGCTCACCATACTACTGGTAACTAGATTATACTAAAAATGCAATTAAATAAAAAAAAAAAACAATTTTATCTGTAAATATATAAGAATTAAATACTTTGACAATCTTAAGTATTATATTATTTTATTTTCTAGCTGCTTTTATTCGTGTAGTTGGTTCAGAGTTTGTCCAAAAATACTTAGGAGAAGGACCACGTATGGTACGTGATGTTTTCCGTTTGGCTAAAGAAAATTCACCTGCTATAATATTTATTGATGAAATTGATGCAATTGCTACTAAACGTTTTGATGCACAAACTGGAGCTGATCGTGAAGTACAGCGAATATTACTTGAACTTCTTAACCAGATGGATGGTTTTGATCAAACAACTAATGTTAAAGTTATAATGGCTACCAATCGAGCTGATACATTAGATCCAGCTTTATTGCGTCCTGGTCGTTTGGACCGAAAAATTGAGTTTCCATTGCCTGATCGTAGACAAAAGCGTTTAGTATTTTCAACAATAACAGCCAAGATGAATCTCAGCGAAGAAGTTGATTTAGAAGATTATGTGGCCAGACCAGATAGGATTTCTGGAGCTGATATAAATGCAATTTGTCAAGAGGTAATATAATATTTAATTTGTGTTTTGAAATAATTTTTGGTACTTATTGGTTATTATGACTACCTTGAATATATAATTTTACAGTAAACTCATTTCTGTTTTTGGGACTATTCCAGATTTACATTGCCTCATAGTTATATTAGTTTAAGACAATTTAATGCTCAATAAAACTTAAGTGTAAAGGAAATAAAAGCATTGCACAACAATAAACCAATTTTCTGTAATAAAACTCATTTTTTAAGTCCGTAGTAGTAATTACAGAATTTAGCATACTAAAAAATTGTATTGGTAGTTGCAATAACTGATAAATAACTATTTTTATAATCACAACTTTGACAATATTGAAAATCCTCTTATAAAAAAAAAAAAATAAAACAATTATTTCAAACTAAATTTAATTTATAACAGAAGTACTTAATATTAAATTTTTTGTCAATGACATTATTGATATATATATTAAAAAAAATTTTTTTAGCGCATTTTCCACTTTTCTATACATAGAATAGTTGCCATTATAATTATTGTCATTAATTTAGCTGTTAACTTACCAATATTTATTGGTAATCTACCAAAATTTAGGATGTTTTAACACATTATTTATTAAAAAATGAATTCACAAATCCATTAAGACAAGTTTCACCCAAAATTTACAATTTTAAAATTCTTATAACTTGCTTCAAAAAAATGTATCAAGATACCCTAGAATTCTTACCTTTTAGTTTGATCGTGGGTCTATTCACATTTACCAGACCGTAAGTAAGACAAAGATAACACATACGGATGAATCATCCTCATAATTCATTCCTATTTATTTATTGTGGAACTAAAATTTCTTTTTCTAAACAAATTTTATGAAATTATTTTTACAATAATATTCTTAATATCGCCTTATTGATAGATATTGATAATAACTATAGGAAATAATGTTTTTATCACTGATCCTATTGCACCAGATCTCAATCAGCATTAATCAAAAATAATTTGTCCATCTGTCATAAATTGTACTGATGTATATTATGTTTAGTTATAGCATATTATATAACATTTGTCATACTTACATAGCTATACCGGTTTACTTGCCAGTCTTCTTAGTCTTGAATAAAACCAATAAATTCACTTAAAGTTACATGAAATATCATGAAATTGCTTCACACAATCAATATTATAATTTTTAAACAAAAACTAGCTAGAGTAAGTCACAATGTTCTTAACCATATAAACTGGTAGGGTCCCCTAATAAGTTGTAGAAAATACTGGTTGCTAGGTTAGTTAGATCTGCTAAACATAACATGTTGAAATAACCAATCGTTAAATTATTAAATTATAATCACTAAAATCAGTAATACCTATATGTATAAAAATATGTATTTCATTTTGTAGGCTGGAATGCATGCTGTACGTGAAAATCGTTACATTGTGTTACCTAAAGATTTTGAAAAAGGATACAAAAACAATATCAAAAAGGATGAATCAGAACATGAATTCTATAAATAAATCTATACAAATAACAATAAACCTACAGTTTTATTAAATTCAGATACACTATTTTTTTTTTCTAATAAAAACATGTTTGCATAAAATTATTCCATTTTCTAATTTATTAATTGTATTAAAAGTAATTAATATAATTTCTTAAACAATTTCAATGATGTGAATATTTTTATTTGTTTGTAATAATATCTTAATTAGAATATAATATCAATCCATAACTCATTTGTTAATTTTTATTATTATTACTATCACTTAAGGTATGTTGTATACAAAAATAAAAATTATATTTCAAACATAAGTATTGTATTGAATAATCTAATAACAATGACCTAGTTTGATAGCTAAACATTATATTAATTTAAGATCACCAATGAATAATCTTAATGTTCAATGGTCTTTAACATGGAATTTAGATGGGTGGAAGGCATGTAACACATAACTTTGATATGATGTGGCATGTCCATGACCACCTCCACCACCGCCACCTCCTCCATAATTACCGTGTGAGGTGTAAAGTGCTTCGTTGTCTTCAACTTCTTGTAAGTCACGTTTCTTTAAAGTTCTGGAGTAAGCAGTGGCTACCATTGAGATGATAAAAATAACAAAAAAAATCTGAAAAACAAAATTGTTTATTGTATAAATTAATAAAATCTTTTAATTTAATATGTTAATGTCCACAATTATGTATAAAAATGTTCATATGCAACTAGCTAATAAATATCTCAAACCCACTAATCATTATAATTGTTTAATGTAAATATGCAACCATTAATGTTTTTATCTAAATCTCTTAAGACAATGTGATGTTAGCGCAATATTTGACATTTGTTTTACATGTTAAAAATGCAAATATGTTCATAAATTTATGGTTGATATTTTAGATGTATAATAAAAATGAATAAATTGCATTTAGAGAGTTGATAATCTCTTACAAAGACTTTAATTTCCTCCCCAGTTAATGTAAATTTATTATCAATAAACATGTCACCTACTTTTCAATGATTCATTTGTCTTTTTCCAACATAAATTATCCAGCAAATATTATCAACTTCAGAAAATTGTGATTAATAAATACAGTATTCGACATTTGTATTGATTAGCAAAACAATCATTTGTCAAGTGATCAGGCTTTGACAATAAACCTTATATACCTACCTCCATTATAAATTATAAAATATTATGTTTATATAATATATAAATATAAAAATGCTAAATTTAAATAACTAATGGATATTTTTCATGAAAATAATATATTGCTATGTTATCTAAATCATAGAATAAATTTAGCGATTTATTTAATTAATTTAATTTACATTTACATATTAATATTCCAAACATGTCTTGAATCTGTATGAAGTACCTACTGAATATAAAATAAATACTGTACTTAAAGACTAAGAGCTATATTTTATACACTAAATGTTTAATTTAAGTAAAACTTGATACACAGACAGTGGCGTCTGCAGGGAGGGGGCTAACAACTGTCAACTATAATAGTAAGCAAGACGTAAATTTCTTTTACGTCTTACCAGAATGAATTCATTTTTGAAAAAACCTTGTATTTGCATACCAATTTTCCTAAAATTATCTTCAATTTTTCGGTAAAAGTATGAACTACTTGTATGAAATACCTTGTATTAAATTGTCTAGCCTTAGCTATACACATTTAATATTTTATAAGTGTCGAACTATAAATTAACTGTAGTTTTGACAAAATTTTAACTTTAAATGCTTATAAAAATAACCATAATGCCTATGTATCGTTAATATTTTAGCTATAATAAAAACTTACGTTATTACTTTTTCAAATTTTTGACCGGATAAATAATTTTTTATTGACATTTATAGAAAAAAAAATGTAATTAATCAAATACAATCTAAGAGTTGACGGTATAACCAAGTTGGTTATCAAACAATTTTAATACTTTTTCATTTTTTTTTCTCCAATTATTATAAAAAGCACTGACCATTTTCAATTTCAACCTCCTAAAAGTACCAAGTAGATCCAATTTTCTTCCAAAAACATACATCGGGCACCAAAGTTTATGATCAGAGCATTTTTTCTACTAGAAAAGTTGAGAAGTTACAAACATTTTAAAATACCTCAAATAAACGTCTAAAATTATTAGACTGGACAAAATAAAAATAAAATTGTAACTAATTTTCAAGCCCCCCCCCCCCATTGAAAAATCCTGCTGTACACAGATAATGGTCTGCAAAATAATTTATTATACCTATCATATCAAAGTATGAAACACTGAATGATTTGGGATTACAATTTATCTAAAAAGTGTATTAATAATAATAGGTACCTAACTAAGAGACTAGTTATAACCAAATTTGATTCTGCAATGAAACATTATATTCACTACCTACCTACCCACCGACTTATTAGGTACCTAGGTAATTATTAATAATTAACATTGCCTATTTATTTAATTTTATATATATATGATATATCAATACAAAACAAAATAATATCGATAGCAAATTAGTACCCATTACATTAAGAGAAAGTAAATTCAAAAAATAATTAAAATGTAATAGTTAATTAAAAACTTATTTGTTTAAATTATATCTAAGTTATATATCTACCTTTTTTTTAACAGATAGCATTTAGATCCTACTTACGTCACTATGACACTATAGATACCTACTTAACTATGTAAAATCATTAAAACATACCTGTTTTGTGTTCATAATTAAAATTTGTCTTAAGTACTTCTCAGTATCTATGCAAGTACGTGTAGGTACGTGAAAATCAGTTGTTGTTTCTTGAGTCACAATATTCAAACTACATGCAAGGAAAAGTGAAAAATCGGTTTATATAATACAGCCGTCCACCGCCATCACCACCCCACCATGTGCCACTCGAGTTTTCCTAATTTTTACGGTTTGATTGGTTATTGGTAATCTCAAATGTAAGCGTAGGTATTGGTAAATATTGAACCAAAACCCAACGGCTTTCTCTGTATACCAACATGTCCCATAGCTATTTTATTTATATATTGTTTGGCTATTATTTTCTTTTTGCGAGCTAAATATATAGGTACAGACACAATATTAAATAATGTAGGAAACTCGTGACTTTTTGAATGTTATTTCTTGAAATATGTTTTATTTTGAATGTACCTATAGATAAATGGATGTAGCTTAAGAATGAGAGAAAACAAATTAATTGTTTAAATATATTATTTTGCAATGTAAAAAATAAAAATTCTTACTATATAATAATTAGGTTCTTATACCTATATAGGTACATAGATGATAGATACCTAACCTAACCTTTTAATAATTGTAGTTATAATGGAAATATTATGGTGGTAGCACTATACAAGTTATAATCACAGGATTTGGGGTGCTAGCATTAAAATCCAGGGTGTTAAGGACCCTTAGCACTCCTGCAATTTGCGCCAATGAGCCGGCCAAATGTAAACTCCTACAAGAATAACCTTTTTACCTGAATCATCATTAAATGTAAACTCCTACACTAATAACCTTTTAAAATTTTTACCTGAAAATCAAAGATATTGTAATCTCCTACATAGAAATTTTTCCCTTTAAAAAATAGGGTAATATTACTTAAATTCACAATTTTGAAGTTGAAAAGCTCAAAAAGCTCAAAATTATCATAACTTGAAAATAATAAATATATATTATTTAATAAACAAACGCTTGAATAGAGCTTGTTTATACGCTGTATGATGATTCTCGAAGGTTAGATTATGTCCATATTATATACTATACTATACGTTCATATCGACACTTGCAGTACAAAATGTTATAAATAGATCAGCGATATGGCATCGAATATTGTCGAATAACGATAAAACATGATAATCTCGTCCGTATCGGAAATTTCCGAACAAATTATTACGTTTATTGCCGATATCGTAGTCCGCTCGTAACTATATAACTGTCAACTGTGTATTGTTTGAGTTTAGTCTAGTGAATCTTTTGCGTCTTTCACCGTTTTGTTAGTCACTCTTATAGTCGTACATTATTACAAATTGCAATGGAATTCATGTATAGTCAGAATGGTAAAAAGTTATTAATAGTTGATAAATATAAATTTTTTTTACATTATACTGCAAAAAGTGGCCAAAAAACTTGGCGTTGTATTAATAATAAGTGTCAAAGTAAAATTTACACAAATAATACAGAGGATGAAGTTATTGAAAAACATGTAGTTCTAATTCACAATCATGATAATGATACTACATTGAATCGCCAAGAAGTCAATAATTCACTGAAAAGGAAAGTAAGTGAAGACAATATTGTAGAAAAACCTTCCAAGTTTATTTTAACTGAAATCAAACATTTTAATAACGAAAATAATTTAAATACAACTGATCTCAATTATATTAGACGAAATGTGTATAATGCACGTAAATCTATTTTGCCACCTTTGCCTAAAAGTATTGAAGAAGTTCACGATACTTTAAATGTAATGGATATACAAACAAACCGTTCTGAACAATTTGTTTTATTAAATGATCAAGATAGCCATATTATTATATTTTCTTGTATAGAAAATTTAAAATTTCTTTGTTCAAACGAAAAAATTTTTTTAGACGGTACTTTCAATTATTGTACAAAATATTTTTTGCAGTTATTCACTATTCATGGTTTTAAGAATCAAAATTATATACCATTAGTCTTTGCTTTGCTTCCTGACAAAAATAGCCATACATACAGTACATTATTTTTAAAAACTATCGAAATTTGCTTGGAAAATAATTTACGGTTTCAACCAGTTACAGTTGTGGTGGACTTTGAAATTGCTATTCATAATGCAATTAGAAATATTTGGCCAACAGTGCAAATTCATGGTTGTAATTTTCATTTGTGCCAAAATTGGTACAGAAAAATCCAGCAATTAGGCCTAACGAATGATTACAATAATGGTGAATCTGAAATTGGAAAATTTTTAGTTCTCACATTCGGTTTACCATTATTGCAAGACGCTAAGGATATTGAAGATTGCTTTGTATTTGATTTGTTAGAAAATATGCCATCTGACGATAAAGTCCAACAATATTGCGACTATTTATCTGAAAATTATATTTTTTCGTTTTCATTATTTCCTCCAAAATTGTGGTCTTCGAATGATACTACAAATGCATGTGAATCATTTCATTCAAGATTTAATAGTAGTTTTTATCATCATCATCCAAACCTCCATTTATTCGTGAAAGTTTTGAAAGATATTCAGACCGAAACATACATTAAAATTAGAAGCAGTCATACAACACAACGCAGACAGACAAAAACTATTTCTAAATATCAATTTATACTTCATCAAAAAGATAAATATATACGAGGAGAAATTTCACGTTTAGAGTTTATCTCCAAAGTATGCCATAAAAATATACGTAAATGATTATGACTTCGTATTGTTTCATTGAATTTTTTATCATTTTTTTCAAAATTATTATTTTAAACGTATGTGATTTTGACTATTGTCTTATTATATTTTTCAAACAATTTTTGTTGTAGGATTAAATAATTATGAATATTGTATTATTAAAATTTTTATTATATTTTTCAAAAAAAATTATATTAACTAATAGTATTGTTTTATTGAATTTAAACATATTTTGTTTTTGGATTAAATGATTATGACTATTATTTTATTAACACTTTTATTATATTTTAAAAATGTATTATACTATTATTATAATTTATTATATTATTATAACTATATTTTTCAAATCATTTTTATATTAGGTATGTGTTAATATATTGCAAGACTGTTATTTTTTACAGCAATACGAGCGGTATTAATTTTTTGTAGGAGTTAACACTATCTTTTGTAGGAGTTAACACTATCTTTTGTAGGAGTTAACACTATCTTTTGTAGGAGTTAACACTATCTTTTGTAGGAGATTACACTACATTTGTAGGAGTTTACCATTCCCCAATGAGCCACGGTAAAGTAAACGGAACAATGTTGGGTAGGTATGGTCAAAAGTCAAAGCCTGCAACACGTATGGTGGATGTCGTTCAAAACCGCACACGTACCATTAATAACCCGATAACCGCACATTCTACACAGCTCAATACCGTACACATTTTGTCTATTTGTTAAGAAGGAAAATTTGGAAGGTCTATAATTCAAAACCACACACATTTGATTGACAGTTAAAAAATAAACATTGATTGATATTAAATAAATCTTCATAAAAATAATTTAATATAATATAAGATATTAAAAAAAAAATGTTATTTATAATTAATTCAATATAATATAATGAGAAAAATTGTATGTATGGATTGGAATAAATATTCATTCTATTGTTTTCAAATATTCTATCAAAGTTATTTCATTGCTTATGAAACGATCATATAAATAAAAAATGATTTTTTTTTATCCCTATATTCTATTTACGTGTGCCTACGTTTAACGTTTCCTTTTCTTATAAGTCGAAGTTTGGTTTCTGAAATTATCTGCTGTTGTTTTAACACATCTTTATCTATCAATCCGAAGAAACGAGAAATGTGTAATACCTATATACCTCTGTGGAGTTTGGATGATCCAGAAAAATGTTATTTATTATATTAATTTTTAATATTTTATAATTTTGATCAAATATGATTAATGGTGTGCGGTTCTAAACGAAAATGTGATATTAGATAAATGTGTGTGTTATCGATAAATATCAGTGTGCGCGATATTTATTTTAACGGGATCATTTTGTAAAAACTGTTGATGTATAAAAGTGTTACATTTTATCCTCCAAAAAGTGAACAAGCTCAATTATTTTTTAATAAGCAATACCTATGTAGATAATTTCACATCTATATGACTGTATTCTGGACGATTAAAATACCTAGTTAGGTTATATTATGTAGGTACCTATTTAGCTAATATAAATTTCGTATGTATAGCTACCTACCTAATTACCTAAATAATATAATAGGTACATATAGTGTTAATTTTAATCAAAGCGCCTTATAAGCAATAATAAACATGTAGTAGGTAATCGACTAATTTTTCTGTTGTAGTAAATTACCACCTATATATACCTACTAGGTACTAGGTAGTCCAATACTATTATTTATAATCAATGATAATGGCTGTAGCCACATAGGCAATACCGTTTGTATTATATTGGGGTCACAAATTCAATAGTAGGTACCTACCTAGTTATAATATAATATTTAATATGGCGATTGGCGATATATTATGATATTAGTGTTTTACGGTACCCACCAACCTATCAAAACAACACTGTAAACAACGACGTGGTCGCTTTTATTGTTATTATTTAACAAGTAAACAGACAATTTATATACCTAATAATATAATAAATTGGTAAATGGTAGGTCGTAGATATAATATACCTATACTGGCTTTACTGGATAGGTAAATAGGTAATGTGTTATTGACGTTTAGGCCCGCCACATGGTTACTTTCTCATTGATTAGTCTCGGCAATATACATTATTCAACTATATAGGCATATAGCAGGCAGGTACATTATAAAGGTATACAATTCATAATATTATTGTGATCGGGAGTTACAATTCTGCAACACGTAGGTACTGACACAGTGGCCACTGGCCAGTGACGCACTTCAGCACTGATCAGTGATCAGTGACCAGTGACCACTTACCCAGGTAACAACTGACAAGTACTTGTGTCGTATGTGTAATATTTTATGATACATAATAGCATTGATTATGTATGCTAATACTAATATAGTAGGTACCTATTCATAATTAATGATAATAGGTACCTATGTTATACGTTTTATAAAGTACGAAGTACCCATAGCCGTCCCAATGTGGGGGGAATGGGGCAAGTACCCTAGGCCATCTAAAGTATTATGAATTTAGGGGGCGTACTAAAAATGAATGATAAAAGAAAAATTTGGTGTTTTTATTTTAGGTATTATTTTTCTTTTTATACAGTAATATCAAAGATGAGTACCTATCAAATTGTATATACCATTGAATATAAATTTATGCATATAATGTGTTGAATCTTAATGAAACATTCCTTCAATAATATATTCAATATTCATACAAACAAATAAAAATATTAATACTTATAAACTAAACTAATTCATATCTTTGGTAGTATTACCTAAATATTTTTTTCACTTGAAAAAGATTTTCTTTCTAGTTTTGTAATCGACAAATTTAAAAATATCGCAGTATGGATTACAGAAACCATTTTTAACTATAAACAAAGTGAGGGTTGTGTTTAATAATCCTCCTTTAATTTGCTTTGTAAAATATGGAGAAATGTCATTATTATTTTATATTTATAGAATAATATTTCAATAATACATCAAATATTTATACTGACAGTGAAATTTGATTCATACATAAATACATTAAAATAATGCGATTTTCATATTTGTTATCAAATACGAAAATAGTAAATTATTAGTTGGGCTGGGGCCTAGGGCCCCTGCAGTCTATGGGCCTCAGTGATCAACAACTCTTCGGGTAGTTGTGGTACTGTAAATATTATACTCAAAGTCTGCAAAGATGTATATTATGACATTATGTTATAACTTATAACCATCTCATTATCAATTCAATTTTACACACTTCTTAAAATAAATCGAGTTAGTGTATTTTGACTGATTTCTGTATATTATATTCACTTATATTCACTTGTACAATTTACAATGTTGACTGTTATACACGCCACACTCAGAAACGCAGATCGTATGATTTTTAATAAAATCCACTAATTTGTGAAAATAAATATAAATATTTTCTTTCTGTAATGTACCTAGAATAATGAAATCAGTGTCAACTTCGACTAAATCATTGAAACAAAATAAATATGATTCCAATGATAATAATAAAAAAGTAAATAGAAACCTTTAATTAATAAGTATTAAATATATTTAATGTATGTGGTTAATAATTATAAGCTAAAAATGTGAAGTCGAGATTTTTTTGTGGGGCGGAAAGGGGCGTCAAATATTATTGCCCTAGGGCGTTATTAGTAGTTATAGCGGCACTGGAAGTACCTTTAAACCAGTGGTGGTTTAAATAGGGCCATTGCCCATTGCCCTGTGAAAATATAAGGCCCCGTTCACTGATCCACCCTAAAAATGTCTATAAAATATTTTTTAGTAGGTACCTCAAACTACAATAAAATTATGAAAAATTCAGTAAACAATATTATTTATTAGGCAGAATAACATAAATATACCTAAACCTAATGGATTGATTAATTAAAAAATACCATAAATTATTCTAAAGTTAAGAAGTGGGTTCGCCCGCGTATCTTATTTAGATTTTTGGATCGGCTTTGTAGTAAAATTATTTGTTCTCCAGTTGGCCCTTCCATGTTAAACATTTTGGCACTGCCTCTGTTATTATTAGCACAGCATGTTATTACTATAATTTTTTAGTCAAAATAAATAAGATGATAACAAAAGGTATTGGTATTATTAATTCAGTACTAAATCAAAATAAACATATACATTTTGGTATATTTTGGTATCAAAATTGACTTTACCTCGTGGTTCGTTCCTGCAAATTTAAAATTGTCTAGGTCCATGTTTGTGTCTGGTTGTAACTTGTAATATTCGTTTAGTCGAGTTAATATATTTTGTGTGAATTCCCTGAATGTCATATTTATAGTCTTGTCAACTCGGTCCAATAATAGCAGATACCTACCTACTTAATACAAATTGTTGGTAATAAATTCTCCCCTGATAATTTTTCCCAATACAATTGTTTAATGAAGTAAAAACAAAATCATTTTTTGAAGGTACTTGGGACCTTTGTGTTTTCTTCTTGTAAAAATTATCACTGGATAAAAGTCTCATCATTTTAGCATCTCCCCATTTAGGTTAGTGAATTTGTTTGCTTATTTAAATTTAAACATTATAGTTGAAGTCAATTCCCCTAATATTTGACAAAATCTCCGTTTATAGTAGTAACTATAGTACCTACCTATGTTTACTTTTTATGTATCTACCTAAATATTGAACCTTTACTGACGTGTAAATAAACCGAAAATGTTATTTGTTTAATATTTTCACTTACGAATGGCGGGTGTGTTTAATAAATGGTAGAAAGAAAAATGAAATACAATAATAAGTAGGTATACTTTGCAACTAGGTATATAGACTATAGTACTATACTTATAGGCACTATACAACTGCGGTGTATAATACCTACCGCCTACCTATAATACTTTTTGAGTAAGTTTGATTTCCTAGTCGCTTATAAAACGTGAACACGTTAAGGTTTATATGTGACCATGTGGGCACCTATAGGTATGCATATTGTATTATTGTATGCAGAAACCACGATGGCTAATCACTGGTCCGCCACAAAAAGAAACGAACGAAAAATATGATAAACGCAACGATATAATAGTAACGCGTTACTGCACACTATGAAT